AAATCGTTCCTGGAGATCACTGCCAAATAAACTAATTACAGGAATCAACTAAGTTCTTTTTACTTCCTTTCTTTTATACTTTTATAATGTATAGATTAAAATTTCATATTCAGGATAATAATGAGTCATTTCATGTGAATATATCATCAGAGCATCTAGGAACATGTTTGAAGCTTAGCTTTTATATAAAGAGAAAACTTGGGATGGATCTTCCCAGTTTAGTATTTAGACATTTGGGGCCAAATACACACACTGTCACATGCATACGTGCTTATAAAAGTTGAAGTATTTGTTAATCTAGTCCATGATCATAGAAAAAAAGACTTGATTTTATTCAGTCATATGGTGGGTTTTTTTTTCCACACTCAGTTTATTTGGGATATTTACTGAAGATATATCTTTAAATGTTTCCTTTAATAACATTTTATTTTATTAGATTGTTAAAATAATAATTATTGTAGACAGTTATTTATTATTAAGTCATCTTAGTATTTATTGTAGGCAGTTGGTTGTTAAAAGCAAGAATCTATGAATCCTTGTATTTTCCAGTCTTTCCCTGTCATTAGGTGATTCTTTAATCAAAGAAACACCTATTTTCCTGATCTAAGATTCTTATTCTGACTTGTTATGTAAAGTGGTTGTGCTTAAAATGTGAAAGGAATTAAAAGTATACAAGTGCTAGATGTGTGTAGGTAAAGTCTTACTCAGGATGGAGCTCCTTTAAACAAAGTTGGCATGAAGGAGGAAGTGGCAGTGGCTAATGTCTATAGAGGCAGTAATGGCTCTGAAAAGAGAGCCACCTTCTCAGGACTTCCATGGCTGTGAAAGGGGGCTAAGAGTCCTACATTTTTATGAATCATCTGTGCTTTTTAGAAGTTTTCATTTTGAAGTAATTTCATACTTAGAGTTGCAAATATAGTACAAAGAATTCCTGTATATCCTTTATACAGATTTGCCAAATATTTGCTTTAACCATAGTTCCTTCTGTGTGTGTATGTATATATACATGCATGTTATTTTTCCTGAATAACTAGAGAGTGAGTTGCAGGCATAATGCCCTTTTATAATTCTTTAGGGTATATATTCTAAAATCAAGGTCGTTCTCATTCATTATTATAGTATCATTATCAAAATCAGAACGTGCAACTTTTTAATTTAACAAATATTTGTTGACTTGGGGACAACATATAGGTGGAGTGAAAGTATAGGCTTGCAAAAGTGCTTAGGTGCTTAAATGAATTACAGTCTGTTTAATGGGTAAGAAATAAATACAGGAAGTTATTCTGTTTCAGAATAAGATGTGTGGCATAAAAGAGTAGCACTAGATACACACAAAAAAATACTCCAGAAACACGAAGAAACAGACAATCGTTTTAACCAGGGAAATCAGGGAAATACTTCTTGACTGGTGCAAAGTCAACCCAGAGAGGTGGAAGTGCCCTGATGAAGGACAGCGGGAGGGAGTTCACTTTCCTGAATACATCCCCCATCTTATTTCTGCCTTTGACTTTGAATGTTCTGAGATCAGTGTGTTACTGTGATTACTCAGTACTGAAATATCAGGAATAAATAAGATATAACAGGTTCTGTTTCTAAAAAAAGTTGATACAATACTTTTTTTTCCATTTTAATTAATAGATTTTAACCTTAACATTATTAGGCTAATCAGATATAGATTTCCCTTTCTAAGCACGTGTCCTTAGGTTATTTTTCATTAATATCTTCTTGATTATGAAAGACAAGAAGTAATGGAGTTGATTAGGTGTAATTACTTTAAAGGAATGGAAGGAATGTTTTTAAAAACTTAATTAAGCCATTGTCAATCTAGAGTTTAGGGGATAGTTACTATTTTTATGTTGTCTAGCATTTATCTATTGAATGTTATGTGTGCAAGCTATTTTTGCATTCACTATAATTATTCTAAATTAATCAGAAAAGGCTTTACAAGGTGGTATGAGATGTCATTTTCAGACTTTGCGAGTTTAAGAAAAGGAGGAATGAAACAGACACATTTACACTGATAATAAGATGGTAGAAAATTTTAGAAAATCCAGTTGCTGAAAATTGCTTATGAATAATTGGGTTTTCTTTAGTGTTAGAATAAGTACTATAATGCCAAACTGTGTCTGTGTGGAAAATTATAGAATTGTTAAATGAGTTTTTATTTAAACATTTGTTTTAAGTTTATTTAGTAAATGTTAAATTTGGATTTTTAGTTCGTTTTTCTTTTAATTTTTAAGTTCACATACATATCCATATATGATGCCTTACACTGTTAATGCTTGATCCTCTGGCAGGGGATTTTCATAATGGAATTTCAGACTCAAATGCCACATTTTTTCTTTTGCAAGCTATTCTTGTTTTGTGGTTAAAAAGTAAAAGTAGGGATATTTTCAGATTTTTATCATGATATTTAGATTCCTAATTGCTTATCTTTTCAGAAATGAATGCATCCTGACAGTATCGTACTAAAAGTCTGTAATGTATATCAATTTTCATTAGAAAACAAATTTTCCCACTGATTTTTGAATTTTTTAGCCTGGTATTTGGTGTTTTGTGGTAATACTTGCAAATTCTATTTTTCTGAAGTTTTCAATGCGAGGGGGTTTGAGGGGCAGGAAGCCTATGTAGCTGTCATCCTGAGATTGGTATGTTTTGAGTAGGCCAAAGGTGTACCCACATTCTTCAATCTCTTCTTTTATACCCATTGTCTCATTATACACCGTTTTCATATTCCTAGGTTCTCTTCATAATTTTTAGTGGCTCTTCTTGTGGACATTTTCCTGTTGCTTTATGTCCTGCTCATGACCATATGTAAAGTTCCAAGATGAGTTTGTTTTTAAGTTAAAAACATAACATTGAGCACTGTTATCTGAAAAATTCTTTCATGAGATTTTGATCCCTAACAATACACTGATCTTACATTTCTGACTTTAGTATTGTTATAAAAGATTTGTGTATACAGTAATTCTTTAGAATCCTCTTATCAAAGGAGGGCAGTCCCTGGCATATAGTTAAGTAAACCCAAAATAACATATCTCCAAATTTAATGTAGTCTGTTTTTATTATAATGCCTAAATTCCATTGAATTGAGGTACCATAGTTACTTAATCAGTTTCTATTTTTGGTTATTTAAATTCTATTAAAAAACCCATGATAGGGCCGGCACCGGTGGTGCACTCGGGAGAGTGCAGCGCTTGGGAGCGCAGTGGCGCTCCCGCCACGGGTTCAGATCCTATATAGGGGTGGCTGGTGCGCTCACTGGCTGAGCACGGTGCGGACGACACCACGCCAAGGGTTGTGATCCCTTTACCGGTTACAAAAAAAGACGGGGAAAAAAAAAAAAACAAAAAAAAACATGATATATATCCATATGAAATATTTCCTTTTTTTTTTTTTTTGTCTTTTTCCGTGTCCGGCGACGGATCGCAACCCTCAGTGTCGCCCCCGGACCGGACCGGGACCGGCAACGGGATCGCAACCCTCGGTGCTGCCCCCGCGCCTCGCTCAGTCAGTGAGCGGGAAATGGTCTGTATGTGGGATCCGAACCCTCGGTGGGAGCGCCTCCACGCTTCCCAAGCGGCGCACTAACGCAGTGCGCCACCGGGCCGGCCCGAAATATTTCCTTTTTATGTGAATACTAAAACAAACATTTTTTTTTTTTTTTTTGTCTTTTGTCTTTTTTCCGTGTCCGGCAACGGATCAAAACCCTCAGTGTTGCCCCCGTACCGGACCGGGGACTGGCAACGGAATTGCAACCCTCGGTGTTGCTCCCGCGCCTCGCTCAGCCAGTGAGCGGGAACCGGTCTGTATGTGGGATCCGAACCCTCGGGCGGGAGCGCCGCCGCGCTTCCCAAGCGGCGCACTATCCAGTGCACCACCGGGCCGGCCCCAAAACAAACATTTTTTAATCTTCTAAATTACTTCCTTAATTTCTAGTTTAGGAGTGAGATTACTAGATCAGAAAACATGATTTTTGCTTTAAGAGGATTTGTAAGTGCTGTATCACTATGTGTGTATCACTTTCCAGAAAGTAAGACTGAATTTAGAGTAAAATGAAAAATTTAGAATAAAATGGAAATTTCCATTGTTTCATGATACAGTCATGAAGAAGGTGGCAAATTGGTGTAGTGGAAAACCCTAATGTCTTAAGGTATCCATTGCATGTAGTGAATTAGCTTCTCTCCTATGCATCTAAAAGGGTACTATAATTGGGAACATTGAGACAATAGTCACTCAGATAGTTTTTCATATCTTGGTATAGCTTCCACACTGTGTGGCCGTTTGTGCAAATAACTTAAAATCTTTTTCCCTCAATTTTGCCATCTAAAAAAGGAGATATAATCTACCTTCCAGGATGATAAAAAGTTTAAAGTATCTAGCATTTTAATTAGTAACCACAAATCTTGCTTTCATGTTTGGCTTAATGCTTACACTAAAGTGCTCAACAGTTTTATAGAAGTCAGTCTTTACTGATACTAGTACATCACTGCTTAAATGTTCTCTTTATTGGGAAACAGTACAGGGGGTAAGAATACAGGATATGAAGTCACAAATCGCCTGGATTGGAACTTCAGCTCTGTCACTTATCTGTGTGACAATTAGGCAAATTACTTATCCTTTTTAGCATTGGGTTTCTCAAGTACAAAGTGAGGTCATAGTAGTAATAAAAATTAAATGAGGTTATATTTAAAAGCATTCAGCACACTTCCTGACACATTTTAAGCATCAATAAATGGTAGTTTTCAGTAATTACTGTCATATGGTTATTGTATTAGTTACTTATTATCACAGAAGAAATTACTTCAAAAACTAGTGGCTTAAAATAACCGGAAATGTTTATATTTTCCTTGTTTCTGTGGGTCAGGTATTCAGGAGCAGCTTATTAGCTGGGCGGTTCTGATTTGGTGTTTCTGGTGTTGAAGTCAAGATGTCGGCAGGGTCTGTGGTCATCTGAATATTATTTTGAACATAATAACTATAAATTTTATATTTTGCAGACCATGTCTTCGGCAGTGGTACAGTTATATGCAGCAGATCGGAATTGTATGTGGTCAAAGAAGTGCAGTGGTGTTGCTTGTCTTGTTAAGGACAATCCACAGAGATCTTATTTTTTAAGAATATTTGACATTAAGGTGAGTTTTGTTTTGCTTTTACTTCAAACTGTAGGTGATTAGGTTTTCTGCTTCAATTATAATTTAGTATAGATTTGTTTATCCTATATGTATTATTTAAATTGTACTTAAACTAATATTAAAAGGACGAAGCTTGGGTTTAGATATTGAAGTATGGACATTGTGACCTAATGGGAACATGTCCTAAGCCAGAACATGAATAGTTCCCTATTTTATCTTTCCACTGCCACTATGCATAACATTTTGTTTTGTTTTTTAAATTATGCCTTTGGTTCTTGAGCTTTCTCACATATTCTCTTTTTTTCTAATGGCACCCTTTTATTCCATTTTGCCCATTATAGACTAGCATACATAGTCCTTTCAGGAAACAACTAAAGAATATTTTAGCTTGGTATGTACTGTTATTTACTTAAGACCAGGTTTAAAGTATTACAATGTATCTATAAAACTATTTGCTACCCATTTTTCCTTATTTTGTTTCTTATCATGGGTATATTCCAATTTTTACAACTTTATACCCCTTACTCAATCGTAAATCAAAATGATCATAGATTTGATGTCCTTTGTCAAGTGTTCATCTCTTAGAGTTGCCATAAAAGTAATTATCATTTCATTCCGGTGAAGTCTCTATTATTTATTTTAAAACCTTTCTTTAGGTAAGCCTCCATGGTTAGTATTGATATGTGGCAATTAGTGTAATGGGATTTTAATTACAAAAAACTAAAACTGGTTTTGAACTCCCAGGCACCAATATGATCAGATAGATTATAGTTAAACTTTTCTACATCTGGGCCTCAGCTTCTTTATTTGTAAAATGGGATAACCATCTGGCTCTGTTACAAAGTAATTCTCTGAGATTAAATGAGATTTAAATCACTGTATTTTGTAAATTAGTGCTTCTTAACATCTACTTTTCCATATCCCAAGACAGCTGAGAGATGTGACATGTTCCTGTTACTAACAGTGACCTACTATTGCAGTGATTCTGGGGGATGGGGAACACATGCATAGTGAGACCCCTAAGTGCTTTGATATATTTCTCATCACCAATGAGAAGCACTGTTTAGAAATGTAGTACACATACAACTTCACTAAGAAGAAAGGAATTACATTACACTGGTCATTTGTGTACAGTGTATTTTACATATTTTAAAATTATGACCTAGGTGGAACCTTGCATTTCAGAATAGGGCAATGGTTATCTATGTTTCTCTAACCTCTTATTTCCCATTGTAGATAACCATTGCTGAACACTCACAGTTTAGCCATCTTTGGTATTAAGGTTAAATATATGTCTTCTATTACGATAAATATGGCAACCATCCATGGCTATCTTATCCATAGTTTAACCTTGATGTGTTTTAAGCATCAGTCTTTCTGCAGCATGATTGATACTACTAATACCAATATTTAATTAGGAGGCTGCTCTGCAAAAGATAGGAATTCGAAGATTGTTAATGAGCAGTACAGAGAAGGTATATTTGACATTCCCACATCTATGAAATAGAGGGAAAGTGCATGAAGTATTTCTGTAATATTTGATAGTACACAGTCTGTTGCTGGTGGAACTATGCATTGGTAGTCAGTAATGTACAAAAGTATCCTATTCCTTCTATGTAACATTGATGATCTAATATTTGACCAAGTATCTGTATTTGGAAATGTTTAGTTAATGAGATTATATCTTAGCATACTGAATTAAACTCATTTGATATGTAGGTTTTATGAAAGAAACGTTATCCATTGTTTACTCTTTTGTTTTTAAGAAATCATTGATTAAATTATGTGATGTCACATATACTGTACATATATGTAATATATATGTATATAAATGTTATGGTTAATATAAATAATTCCCTTAGTATGAGTCATCTGCTTTGTTTCATTCCTAGGGATTGTTTTTTGGTAGTTCTTATTTTAATTTTAACTTTTTTTAGGATGGGAAACTATTGTGGGAACAAGAGCTGTACAATAACTTTGTATATAATAGTCCTAGAGGATATTTTCATACCTTTGCTGGAGATGTAAGTCATATTTTCTTTTATTGCCATGTTTAACTTTTCCATTGTTTGCATTTCTAATCCAAATTATTTATAAAGCCCTATTGAAGGAGCATATTCAATTTACTATTTTATTTATTCGCTAAAAATAAAGTATTCAATTTACAGTATTATTTGAGTGTCTACTTTGGTAGGAAGCTTTTCTAATACTAGTTTTTGGGTTTTTTTTTAATTCTCAAGTTTTTTCTTTATTATAAAGGAATTTATTTTTTAATTGACACATATTGAATATACATACTTAAGAGGTATAGAGTTATATTTCAGTACATGTATACAATGTGTGATGATCAAATCAGATAATTAGCATGTTCATCATCACAAAACCATATTATTTCTTTGTAATGAGAATATCTCCTCTCTTCTAGCCATTTGAAAACGTACAGTAAATTATTGTTAATTATAGATGCCCAGCACTACTGTATACCACTAGAACTTATTTTTTATCTAGGTGTAATTTTGTGCTCATCCACAAGCCTCTTCTTATCTCTCCTCCTCCTTCCCCTTTCCAAGCCTCTAGTTACCACAGTTCTACTCTCTCTAACAGTAGTTTTTTACTTTACCTTCTCCGTGCTTTTTGCCTTAAGTTATTCAGACCATAAAATGATTTTGTTCTGCAGGTAAATTCAACATTTCCTTTTTTGGAAATGTACTTGTTGGTCATCATCATTGTTATATAAAGCTAAATTCATGCACTTTGTTGTTTGCTCTTTTTGATGAAAATATTTCAGACTTGTCAAGTTGCTCTTAATTTTGCCAATGAAGAAGAAGCAAAAAAATTCCAAAAAGCAGTTACAGACCTGTTGGGCCGGCGACAAAGGAAATCTGGTAACTTTTTTTGTCTTTTTTGTTTTTTTAATTACTTAAAATGGGCCAGCAAACTATGGCTTGTGGGACACCCCTGTGGTCCACTGCCTGTTTTTGTAAATGAAGTTTTATTAAAGCCCAGCTATACATATTCATTGTTTGACATATTCTCTTTGTCAGCTTTTTTGCCACAACATAGTTGAATAGTTGCAACACAGACTATATGGCCCTCAAAACCTAAAATATTTACTGTCTGGCTCTTTACCAAAAAAGTTTGGCAATCCCAACCTTAAAAAACATATTTTTACTGAGAACTAAGTTTTTTAGATTTGCCAAAGGACACATTCCAATAACCATTTTTGCTGATAAAGTTCCATATATACTGACTCATAAATTTGCATTTTTAATGTCATTGTTTGTAACTTAAATTTTTTAAAGTATTTTTTTACTTTGTAAACAAAGACTTTAGGCAAACTTAGAAGCAAATAAGCAGTTGCCGACAGGATCTGTAAACATTACCTCTTCTCTATTTTGTTCCTAATGTTGTGTGTTATGAAACTTTAAGGAACTTAGTTTAATGCATGAGACTCTAACACATATAAAACAATTTGAGAATGATGCGGGATAGTATAGAGTTTTAAACTATGTTTTGACAACAGTGTACTAGGACTTTCTTTTGTAAGGTGGAGAAGTGTGATTCGGAAAGGTGAATCTCTCCAGAACAGTCATCTTAAGCAGATCAGTTTTAGGTGAGAGAACATTTGGGAGTTGAGATTGGGTTGGCAGGTAGATCCCCTTATAACTAGCCATGCCCTTATACTCCTTGAAAAGTCTTTCTCTACTTCCAGGGGTACATGTTACCCCAGTTTAAAGATCACTGTATTCAAGGATGTTCTTTATGAGTAAGAGGGGATAAGCCCAGAAAAAGGAAGATGCTGGATGCAGAAAACAGAAATGTAAAAGCATTTATTCCATTTTATACATCTTTGTTGTTATTTTAGTGGATTTCCAAGAGGCAGGTGAGGTAAAAATGAAAATAAAGTTATCTAAGTTGTTGCTTCACTATTACCATCTTATTATATTCTGCTTATAATTAGTGAATAGGAAGATTATTAGGGGCCAATTATATTTTGTTACTTTTTGGGGCCAAGGACATTTACCACTTGATTTTATGCGAGGAAAGGATTTAATGCTATGGTATTGAAACCTCAACTTTAGGATTAATTGTGGTTTACTGCCTATTTCAATGGTATGCTGTGGTGGTAGGCCAGGGACTCTCTGTGGTCCTTTTAGTAAAAACAAGACATTTTCATTATGAAACATAATAAAAAATACTTCTTAAAATATGAAATAATTGATTTTGAAATTGATAGGTAAGTTAGAGGTATCTTTTACCTGACACAGGAATCGTGTTTTATATACATGTTGAGTATCTCTTATCCACAATGCTTGGGACCAGAAATGTTTCTGAAATGTTTCAGATTTTGGAATGTTTGCAGAGTACATATTGGTGGAGCATCCCTAATCTGAAAATCTAAATTCCGAAATGATCCAATAAGTTTTCTCTTGAGAATCATGTCTACACTCAAAAAGTTTTGAATTTTGGAGCATTTTGGATGCCAGATTTTCATATTAGGGATACTCAAAACTGTAGTTCCTAAACTTTTAGGCAAAGTGTTTCAGAAGCACCAAGATCATAGCGTTAGGGGGGCAGCTGGGTCATCATTGGGTATCCTTTCATGCCGAGTCAAACTCCATCTTCACCTCTCTTTAACTTAGGCGCATGAGGCCCAACTTTGGGAGCAACAAACAATTAGTCTGTTTTCTTTGCCTCTCCGTGGCCGCTTAGTATTGGGAGCCATCTATCATGTCCTTACACTGTCTTTTCTTTATTCTAACCTGTCCTAGTTTCTTGAAATATTCCTATGATGGTTTATAGACTTATCCTGAGTACTGTGCTCTGAATCCACTATATAGCTTTTTATATCTATATCAAAATATTATGTTCACATTTGAACATAGTACTCCGAATATAGTCTGAAGAGTACTGTGTGAATTAAACACTATTTTGCTAATATTTCTGGCAAGTCAAAAATAGTGTTTTGTTCTGAGCAAACCTTGTATTTAAGAATATGAATGCAAAGAATTCATAGAAATTCTCCTGGCTTTCCTCCTACCTAATTGGCTGTAGCTTTTCAGTATTTTTCTGGTCCCAGTGCTTAGAGTTCTCTGGATATTCTTATTCTCTTTGTGCTCTCATCAAGTTCCATAGCTTTGAAAACTATCCATATGCTGATGACTCCTGAAGTTTTATCTTTGGTACTGACCTCTCCCTTGACCTTCAGACTCTGTCTACTCAAGTTGAATGTCAGAATAGCCTTCAGACTTATTAATATGTCTGAGAATATTTGGTCCATGTCTCCTATCCCCAAACACCAGTCCCACTCAGACCTGTTTCTGCTCTTCTGCTAGCCTTCCCTTTCTTAGTAAAAGACATTTTTCTCCACTTTGTCACTCAGGCTCACTATGGTGTCTCATAAATTCTATCAGGGATTTCCATTGGCTCTGCCTTCAAAAATATGTCCCGTATTTATTTCTCACCACCTCTGCTGCTACCATCCTAATCTAAGCCACCAGCACCTGTCATCTGGACTACTGCCCTTAGCTGCTTGACTAGTCTCCCTGCTCCTACTCTGTCTCCCCATTCTATCTCTTTTCCATACATTAGCCAGAGTAAACTTTTAAAAAACCTACATTAGATCATGTCACTTGCCCTATTCAAAACCTTGTAAGAGCTAAATGTCATATAAAGAATAAACTCTATAGTTCTTAACCATGGACTGTAGGACCTTACATGTTCCAGTTGAATGTCAGAATAGCCTTCAGACTTATTAATATGTCTGAGAATATTTGGTCCATGTCTCCTATCCCCAAACACCAGTCCCACTCAGACCTGTTTCTGCTCTTCTGCTAGCCTTCCCTTTCTTAGTAAAAGACATTTTTCTCCACTTTGTCACTCAGGCTCACTATGGTGTCTCATAAATTCTATCAGGGATTTCCATTGGCTCTGCCTTCAAAAATATGTCCCGTATTTATTTCTCACCACCTCTGCTGCTACCATCCTAATCTAAGCCACCAGCACCTGTCATCTGGACTACTGCCCTTAGCTGCTTGACTAGTCTCCCTGCTCCTACTCTGTCTCCCCATTCTATCTCTTTTCCATACATTAGCCAGAGTAAACTTTTAAAAAACCTACATTAGATCATGTCACTTGCCCTATTCAAAACCTTGTAAGAGCTAAATGTCATATAAAGAATAAACTCTATAGTTCTTAACCATGGACTGTAGGACCTTACATGTTCCAGTCCCTGACTCTCCTTCTGACTTGTCTCCTTCTACTGTTCCTTTTGCTCACTCCAGTATAGTCTTTATGAAGTTTCTTCATGCTGTACCCTCCTTAGGGCCTCAGAGTGTATTATTCCCGTCCACACTTTATTTAGATGCATGCTTAAATGTCAGTTTTTCAGAGAAAACTTCCTTAATCACCTGTACATCAACTTAGGGATAAGACAGAGTTTAAGTGAATTATTTTATTTTGATGTTCTCTTACATATGTCTAATAATATTCTTCTGATTTATTTTCTAACAGAAAAAAGACGGGATCCCCCAAATGGTAAGCTCTTTGGTAATTATCAAAAAGATTTTAGATTAAGGTTTGATCCTTTTAGAAATATGTACTACATATTAATAACTAATATTTAGTATCAGTGATTAAACACTATAGCTCATTATGTTCTTATTTTAAATTAATGAGTGACAGGTGAGACTTAGGAAACATACTATTCTTTGGCCTTTTTCCGGCACAAAGGAAAAATACATAGAGGTAAGACTACCAATATTTTTATCTTAATTCTGTATTCACAGCTGACTGTTTAGAAACTGTACAGTTTTGTCTTAAAAATCTTCCCTATAGGCAGTAAATTTTGTCTAGTATATTTGTTAATTTCATTCTTTAAGACTGATCTTTTTTTCTTATTTTAAAAAGCTATTTTACCTTGTTTATGTGTTATGTGAAGCCCCTTTCAAAATGAATACTTACTGTGATTGGCATGTGTAGATCTAATTTTAGCTGCATGTAACCTCCTTTAATTTGATAATGAACACTTGAAGAATTATAAATTCATTTGTATTATTTTTTGAATACTGAATACCAGAGAGTAAAAGCGAAATACCAAGATACAAAGATAAAGGTTCCAGATCTCCAGGTCAGAGATTCTCATCCTGGACTTCATAAACCCTTCCTGAGATTTTGTGCTGAATTTTATAATTTATGTTCTATTCTTTGGAGAGAGAGGATCTGTGGCTTTCATCACATTTAAATGGGGTCCCTAATCCTATGTAGGTAAAGAAGGATTGCTCCAGGAACGTTCATTATAATGGGGAATAAATATAGCTGCTTCTTTTTAAAAGGATCTCACATCCTCTCATCAGAACTTAGAGTGATTATTCAAGGAAAAACTTACATAATACAAAGTTCTTAATATATGACGATTATTGGGGTTTGTCTCTTTTTTTTTTTTTCTTTTGTCTTTTTCCGTGTCCGGCAACGGATCGCAACCCTCAGTGTTGCCCCTGTACCAGACCGGGGACCGGCAACGGGATTGCAACCCTCGGCGTTGCTCCTGCGCCTCACTCAGCCAGTGAGCGGGAACCGGTCTGTATGTGGGATCCGAACCCTCGGGCGGGAGCGCCGCCGCGCTTCCCAAGCGGCGCACTATCCAGTGCACCACCGGGCCAGCCCCAGGGGTTTGTCTCTTTTAAACAGATACATTGCCTTCTGATTTTGTCCTTAAACTTGTTTGCCTGACATAAAAACATGAGCCAAATGTTACTGTATTGAATTTTGGGTTATTTACCTTGTTATTCATTTTAAAAAAATGGCTAACTACCTTCAGTAGTGCTTACCATGTGTCAAGTATTGTATATGTTGACTTTGTCTTTTAAATGGAAATATTAATACTTAACTGTTTTGTAGGGCTTCTGTGGGGATTAAATGTTACTTATGATGAAGATTATGACAATAATAATAATAGCACCTACTATTTAGTGATCATTTACTACCTGCCAGGCTGCTCAGTAACCTTTTGAAGTAGCTTCCATTATCCCCATTTTGTATATGAGGAAACTGGGGCACAAATAGGTAACCTGATCAAGATCACATAACTAGTAAGTGGTGGAGAGGGTTCAGCTTGAAGTGATCTGACTCTAGAGCTTGGCCCCTTAACCACTGTGCTATGCCAAAATGATTTTGAAGGAGAAATCGAGACCTAGGAAGGGTAAGTAACATGTCTCAAGATATGCAGTTAGTATGTGGAAGAGGCAGAGGAAGCAGAGCAGATGAGTCACAAGTCATTCCTCTATGAGCTTTTAATTCAGTGTTAGAATTTTTTTTCCTTGATGTGTGCCCAGTGTTTTAACCTCTTTTTGGATTTGTTAAATTATTTTGAATTTGGTGAACATATATTGAGTACCAGTGGGGAAGGCTTCCTAGGGGTGGCATCTAAAAACTTTGGGGGAAGTAACCCGAGATTTAAAGTGTAGATGTTGTACAGATCATATAATTAAAGTTAAGGTTGTAAATGGTTTATTTTTTAAAACATTTAATTTTTGCAGTACATGTAAAATGTATTTCTGAAGAGGCACCTAATTTCCATGGATAGATAGAATTTGAAAATTCTTTGTAACAGTGATGTCTCACAATTTTATTACCCCTACTAAGAGGGTCACTCATAATTAAATGTAATTTCTTCTCTGAGATTGCTGTTTGTTTTAAGTCTTTAGTTTCATAGTTTTAACTCTTTGTTCAATGGTCCCAAACTTTTTTCATTAAATAAATGGGGAGTTGAAAAATAAAAAATGTTGTTAAAGATCAAAATTATCTAGCGTGTATTGCCAATATTTGTGTACTTATTTATTAAATATAATATGGTATTAATATATTACCTACACAATAAATAGTGAAACAAATAATTATTGATAGGAATTTTAATATTTTTTCCTGCTCTGCAGTTGGTTGTCTTGCTCTCTCTCTATGTGAGACCATTCTTTTGGAGGCAGTGTTATTATTTTACTGTATTTGGTGCACCACCACTAGGTGGCAGGGGCGCCTTAGTGATATCGTGCAGTATCCAAGCAGGTGCTTTTTGTCAGATCCTCATTTAGATGGTCAGTTTACCAGACCATTTTAAATTATAACATTAAAAAGACACTTTATATATTACTAAAATGCAATTCAGTATCTTCCTCATTAACTTGTAAATTTTTAATTGGTCAATCTCACATTTTAGCTTGTATAATTCCCAGTGATTTGTTCTCAGCTTTATGACTGCTTGACATAAGAGGCCTCTGGGCCACCTCTTTCTCAACTATTTTACCTTGGTGAGAGTTCTCTGATTTTTATGTAATTAAAAGGAAACTTTAGTTTGTTCTTTTAGATTTATAATTAACTAGAAATGTCTGTTCACAAGAATATTCAAGAACCATTTTTGTGGCAGCTGTCCTTAATCAGAAGGAGGTAATTTGTGATTTGTTTTTTGAAAAAGAAAAAAAAAAAATAGCCCCCTACATTATATATTTACTTAGTAGGTGTTCTTAGGATGAGTATAATATCATAAATGGAATAAACTTTACTAAAAATGACTTAAGTCATTAAATCTGTTATCAAGTCTTTTGTAAAGTTTATTTAAAAATGATTCAGTACTTATACACGTTATTATTCTTTAGTGTGTCACTTTTGAAACAGATATTTAATTAGACTTTAGAAACACCATTTTAAACTTAAACTGTAAGCAACAGAAATAACAAAGTACCTAATCTCTTGAATATGTAGAAAATTTTTTCTTCTAAATTTTGAAAGTTAGTAAATATTTGTTGAATGATGAATTGTTGGGCTGCAAACTGAGAGAACTGATAAATTGCTAAAGAAATAATGTGTGATGATATTTGTAAAGTTAGCATTGTCAGTCAGCTTGTAGTTTGACTTTTGTGCAAAAGGTAGAATAATTAATAGAAAGGATAGTGATCTAGAAACCAAGATTACAGAGTTCACCTTTGCCTCTGTCACTAATTGTGTGACTTTATACAGGTCACCTGACTTGTTTTTAGCTTTCATGTATGAAATGAGAGATTTAGAAAAGAAACTCTAATTTTTCAGTTAATACTAATTTTCTGTACATCTCTGTAATCTGGATTTTTTAATGTAGACTTATTTAAATGATGTTTTAACTAGTACTAATGAAATTCATCTATAATGATTTTAAAGAGATAATGCCACGGCTTTATAAATTACTTGCTAGATGCATAACTATAGAGCTAGGGCTAGGTCTCAGAGATCCCTTGAGCCCGCTGTCCAGACTGGGTCACAAACCCTAGGTCTACGAGCTATGTAATAGGAAAAGGTCCTTGGAGCTATGGGTGAAGAAATAATTGGCTTTGTTCAGAGCTAGGAGCAGTTGACCTAATATGGCTTCCCAGAGCATCCTCTAGAAGCTTCGTGCATCTGCACCGTTAGTCCTTTATACTCAAGTCCATAATTCCCCCCCCCCCACCCCAAAAAGCAACCTGGATGCAAATGCGCAATAACATTATACAATAACAAGGAGCACCCATGTGCACACGCAAACCCACCTCAGATACTCGGCAAGACTCCAAACATCCAAGAGGCCCTGACCATTTTCCTTATATTTTCACAACAATAACAATATATCCATGCCTGACATTTGGGTAGAGGGAGGAAAAGAAACAGTCTGCAGTATGAGTTAAACATTGTTAGTGAGTTCCTCTAGTGAGTTAGAAGTCAGGCTTACAAGAACTTTAACTTATTTGCCCAGAAAGTTACTAGCTTGGATAATTTAAACCATTAAACAACTTTACACAACTCTGTTTCCATTTAGGTCATCCATACTATAATAGATTGCTTTAAGTGAAAGCAGCATAAAAAACCTTTTGTTTTTTCCTAAAAAGCTAATTATAGTTGTTTTTTGTTTTTGTTTTTATTTTTTAAGTGAGTATGGTTGTTCCATTATAGTTGCTCTTTGAACACCTGTTTTAGGAAAGGTGGTATGATTAAAAAGAGTGTCTAACTTTGATACTCCTAAATCTGTCTTAGTTAATTTTTAAATTCTATTAGAGTAAACATTAATTTGTAGCATGTTATTGTAGGTGGTGGTGTTGATACTGGTTGGTAAAGATTAGTTAAAAGAGAGGGTAGAAAGGGAAGAATGAGAAGTAAAAACAGATCACTAGATAAGTCTATGAAAGTATGAGTGTGACCCCAATTTAACCCTCTAACCCCTGAATTCTCAATATTCTCAGTAAGTCCCTTATTCTGTGAAACTACAATAAATGCTGAAATCTTATGTCTGAAAACATTTTGAAAATCCAAGTCTTTATCTTCTATTTAATCAGCCTTTCAAGTCATTCTGTATTGCTTAACTAACCTTTACTTCTTCATCCAATTATTTTCAGATTATTCCTTGACAATGAAAAACCTTTTAATGATTTTGTCTGTATAATTCACCAGTTTCCATTTTTTTCCAAGAAGAACTACTTTATTTCTTACCGATATCAACAACTTACTATGGGATTTATAATTTATGAAATCATAAATCAAACTTAGATGATTTACATATTATACTTATATGAAAATAGACTTTGAATATTGAGGGAAAATAGCTGAATTCTGGTGATATTAAAAATAGTCTTCTTTCCAAATTGTTTACTTGTCTGATAAGGTGGCAGATCGCTTTCATAATTTTGTTTTAGCTCTATTTTATCTTTAATAGTAGAATTGAGAGAGAGAAAATAGTTTTTATGTAATTTACTCATGTAGGTAAATTTTTTCTTTTAGAAAACTTAGTGAATATGATACATTTGAGGTTTTCATCATAATTAATTATACTCAAATTGGCATTTAATGATCACCTAATATGCATTAGACTATAATTTCTTGAGATTTCTATTTGCCAATTCTTTGATTCTTTTTGGGGTCCCCAACACCGTCTTCATGGTTGGTAATTCACTAGAAGTACTCTCACAAGACTCAGTGTCAGGCTAGGGCCTACAGACCCTTCATACCTGTTGTGCAGACTGGGTCACAACCCCCTCACGTGTAGGTCCACGAGCTAGGTAATAGGAAAAAGATTCTGGGAGCCGTGGGTAAAAATTAATAGACTATATTCAGATGCAAGCTCAGGTAGCTAGCAGCAGCTGCCCTGATGGCCTCCTGGGGCATCTCAAGGGCCCTGTGTATCAGAGCTGTGTGTCCTTTATACTTTGCAAGTCAGTTAACCAAAGAACACATGGGCACACATGCGCAATTACATCAGAAAGTAACCAAGGAACACCTGGGCGCACGTGCTTATATTACATCAAACAGCAACCAAGGGATATCTGGGTGCTCATGTGCATATTTACATTAAACAGGCTAGGTCATGCTTGGCAAGGTTCCGAACCGCTGTGGGATCCTGATCATTTATATTTCAATTTTCCTTACACTCAGTATATAGTTATATTCACTCCAAAGGTTTATTAGAATGAGAAGACATAAAACAAAATCAGTAAAGGGAAAGACACATGGAATGAAGTCCATAGGAAACCACATATAAGGTTTCAAGAGTTCTCCCAGTCAAGTGAGAGGATGTGCTTAATTCTTTTAGTAATGAATTGGGACAACACGTGAAATATTGTCTAAACAAAAAGCTCATTAGAGACTAAATGCCCAGGGTTTTTATCCGGGGCTAGTCATATAGGGATACTCTGCCTAGCACATACCAAGATTCTGTAGTCCCAAAAGGAAAGCAGGTGTTCAGGATAAACCACATATTAGCACAAACAGTTTAGGCACAGGTGAGCCCACCTTATCAGGGAATGGTGGGAACTCTCTTGTAATCCGACTTCCCAGATGCCAACTGAGGGCCAACTTTGCACCCTTCCTTTCTAAGAAGAGTAGTTCTCAAGCCTGCTGTGTTAATTCTTTCTATACAACGGTGATAGTATTTAATTCTTTCTACACAATGGTGATAATATTTAATACAATTTGAAAGTCATCATTAATGTATTAATCTCAGAGGAACCTGTTCTGATAGGAGGTTTTATCAGAGAATCATACACAGTCATGCACTGCATAATGATGTTTTGGTCAGCAGCGGACCACATACACAACAGTGGTCCCATAAGATTATAGGAGGGCAGGCTTTGTGTAAATAAACTCTGTGATGTTTTTAGAACAACAAAATTGCCTGACAATGCATTCCTTAGAATGTATCCCTAATCATTAAGCAACACATGACGGTATTAAATGGGATCTCTAAGGAACATGTATTGCCCTTTAGTTAAATATGTAAAAAATTTTGAAGTTGAATACTATTGCATTCAGACTTTAATGCTTTTACAGAAATAAGAATGTTTTTGTGAATTATAAAGTTTTGTGCTCGATTTAGTGTCACTTCTGAAGATGCTATTGATAATATCTGAAGGTGTCTGAGATGTTTTAATACTGATCTGTGTGGAAGATGAGCTTAAATTTGCAGTTAAAATTTTTGAACTCTGTACTTTTGATAGTCAAGGTATATATATATACTGATGGGGAAAATATTACTGAAGTATGATAGTTTAGGAAAAAAATGGTAATAATTTTATAAGTACTTTTTTCCTCATTAATTAATAAAGATGGAACAAAGAGGTAAGACTAGATTTCTTTAAATTTAGAACAGTGTAGATGCTTCGTTTACTTTCTTTATCCTTGTTGTTATATGATATATCCCACTTTACCAATGAGCAGTGTGTAGGGTCTGAGGCTGTTATAGTCAAAATTTAAGAGATTAGAGCAGTTAAATTTGTTTCTTTTTTTTTTTTTCCTTTTTGTCTTTTTTACTGACTGGTAACGGGATCACAACCCTCGGTGTTGCGCCCGCACCGCGCTCAGCCAGTGAGCGGGAACCGGTCTCCACATGGGATCCGAACCCTCGGCGGGAGCGCCACCGCGCTCCCAAGCGGCGCACTCTCCAGTGCGCCACCGGGCCGGCCCTAGAGCAGTTAAATTTGAATTCTAGTTGAAAGTTCACATTCTTTATGAGATTTAATGTTTTAAAAATACAAGTTTTCTTTGAAATAGTGCATCTATACTATTGTGTTTAAGAATTTATTATAGGTTTTTGAAATTTAGACGGTATTGTATTATTTATAAAAAACTAGTGTACAGGTTAAATTAAAATTTGAATAATTTATAGTAATGAAATGATCCTACTTCAGAAAAAGATATTTAAATTATAAATTGTGATTATATATAATTATTATCTTAAGTTATATTTCATATTATTTTGGCTTTATTTGCAGGTCCTAATCTACCCATGGCTACAGTTGACATAAAAAATCCAGAAATCACAACCAATAGATTTTATGGTCAACAAGTCAACAACATCTCCCATACCAAAGAAAAGAAGAAAGGAAAAGCTAAAAAGAAGAGATTAACCAAGGCCGATATTGGAACGCCAAGCAATTTCCAGTAAGACAGTTTTTTTGTTGTTTTTATCTATAGTGTTGATTTATTTATTGCCACTCTTGATTTTGAACTTGTTAGAATATTTTGTTTCCTTTTTGGGAGTATGCTTACATTTATCACTTGCATACCATTTTAGCTCTAGGTTTTTTTTTTAAGGCAATTGCTCAATAGTTGTTTTGTGAATCTTAAGTTTATCTACTTTTTCGTCCGTCAGAAAAAAAAATTAGAAAAAGTTGTTTGTTCAACTAATTGTCAGACATGAGAATGATTTCTCACTTTGCTCTATAAGTACCTTTGTTATTTATATGACATAGTTCAAGCATTTTCACATGCATTATTTCATTAGCTCATTGTAAAACTCCTATCCTCTCATATATATAATGCTTGTATTTTTATGCCAATTTGACAGTTAAGGAAATAGATGCTCAGAGAGATTGTGCAGAAATACTAAGATTTAATTAGTAGCAGGGCCAGGGCTAAAATCTTGGTCTTCTGACTCTTTGTACATAGTTTTCTCCAGAATATAGTTTATGTCTGTGAGAACTGTTAGTTTAGGCCAAAAAATCAAAGGGTGAATTGGATTATATATATTATGTTTTAAATGCCCTTTGTGCATTTTATTTTTCTATTTTTTTCTATCTTCTACTTTAGGCACATTGGACATGTTGGTTGGGATCCTAATACAGGCTTTGATGTAAGTATCTTTTCCAGCCATACACATTATTATTCTTATTATGTGGTAATGTTATGCCCTGTCTTTAAATTTTTATTTTTATTATTGATTTTTGTGGATTCTAGTGTCTATTTGAATGTGCTAGTGTTTATGTATGTCGACCACTGAGGTTTGAAACCATAGTATTACTCTGTCATTCGTGGTTAAGTCTTTAAAGACAAAGTGTTTTTACTCCTTGGCATTATATACCATCTAAGTAAAATCATTGTGTTTTGAAAACTAGGTGAAGAAAATTATTTCTGCTAAGTAAGAATTTCAGGGGAATATATACCAAATTATTGGAAAGAAGTATAATTAAATTTTTATATCCAGTTGTTGAGTTACTTGGATTTTTTCATTTACTATTCTTTTTGGCAATTTCATCATTCATTATTTTATAGCATTGTGAGCAAGGTAGGTGAAACTGCTGGCAAAAATTAATTAGTGTGGATAAGTTATTTTGAAGTAAAATATTATTTGTGATTGGGGTCAAAAATCCTTTTGGTTACTTTTGTTATAACTACAATGTTAACTCCACAAACATATATTGAGTGCCTCTTTTACATGGTGCTTGGGCTACAAGGAGGTCTTGCCTTCAAGTTTTCAGATTGATTTCTTTTCTTGTGTTTATTCATGATTGTACTAAAATCTTATTTAGGACAAGGTAGAATGGATGAGCATTAGAAATGTCTTAGTTTGGAATGGGTTAGTAAAAATCTAAGTGAGATGCCCTTTTTTTGAAGGCAGAAACAAAAAGTGGTGGGATGAAATAGAAAATATATTTGTTCTTATCTATTCAGGCTTTTTTTTTTTTTAATAAGACAGTTTAGTTGGCATATAAATAATATAAACATGTTAAAAGTTTATAAACTTAAAATAATTTCGTAAGGACAGAAATGAGAATTAAATTTTATTAGGCTTATTTTTTTAAATTTTATAGCTAAAATTAGATAGATTTTATAGTTAGCAGTTATTTTATCTGTTGTAGCTGAATAATTTGGATCCAGAACTGAAGAATCTTTTTGATTTATGTGGAATCTCAGAGGCACAACTTAAAGACAGAGAAACATCAAAAGTTATATATGACTTTATTGAAAAAACAGGAGGCGTTGAAGCTGTTAAAAATGAACTACGAAGGCAAGGTAACTTTTATTTCTATTTAGGCATTCTGATCTATTTTTTCTTTTGAAAGACAGCTATGTACATTCATGTGAACCCTTCCTTGAGAAGAATATTTGAATTTATGGACAACTAATTTGGCCCAGCATACTCTGTCTTAACATTATTTTGGTATAACTAAAAAACTTGACTGGTTTTGTTTATTAAAAAGTCTTACATTAAATTCATAAAAATTCATACAAAATCTTCTGGCTATTCTATTTTAGAATAAAAAATTATAGTTGCCTACATATTTTACGTAATGAATCCTAGAAACCACCTGTAAAATTGTTTTTATTATAATTTAAATGTAACTACTTTCTAATCAGTAATGTAAGCAGTTTTAGAATATAAAATAATGTAAATTTTTCTACTAATTTTGAAATACACACCTTTTTCTTGGATAAAATATAAAATTTTTGTTTGGTACCCAAGAGCACAACAGTTTGCAACATTTTGAGATCTGATATTTCATTTAAAACACCTTGTATTTTAGTTGTACCTTAACAATTATCTCAGATTTTCTAATACGACAGTCATCTCTTTGCACCTTATTCATCTGGGACTGCTTTTCTTCTTCCTAGTTTTTGCGTACTCATAATAGACAGTGTAGCAAAGAAAAAGCTCCAGTTAAAGCATTCTTCTAAAGAATTCAACTATCATTTTACATTAAGTATTTGGCTTACCTGTGTCTTTTTTGCTGCTGACGTTCAGTCAGTCTTTGATTTATTGGTTGGTTCATGCATTAATTCATATATTCAGTAAACATTATTATGCCAGCACTGTTCTCAGGGTATTTTGATGTAAAGAAATGATTCACAATCTAGCATGGAAACAGATATATAAACAACAAGTTATAAAGTTATAATTGTTATTGCGGAAAAACAATGCTAGTTCCACTGAACAAGCATGATGATAATTTATCTTACTTTGTAAACAAATTACATTTCAAAACTCTGTGGATTTTTTAAAAAAACACATCTTGGGCACAGCACCATTATTTTTTTTTAAATGCTCCCAGTCAGTCACAGTTACTGTTAATGTGCAGATGCCGTGGAGGATCTTGAGAACCTTATCGTGTTTCTTGACTCATTTTCTCCACCATTGACACCCACCTACACCTTACATGACCAAATGATGTTCAAAGGGCTCTCAGCTCTCTGAATTTATAAGTTCATAAATTACTCTTGACATTATTGGACCATACATTCTGCTTCCCTCTTACCTGAGGACCTGTAGTATATTAGCTTGATGGGGTTTGTTTTTTTAAAACTTTATTATTACTGCTTTTTATTTTACCTGCTTTTTAACATTAAGTTTGGCAAGGTCTTTCCTTAATTGAATTACTTAAAAGACACAGGCATTAAAAAACATGCTTTGGGAACAGTTATATTTAAAAACCTAACTCACACTGAAACCTTTTAGACACCAAAGAACGATTTTAAGATAGATTTTTTTAAAATGGAAGAATAAAAAGGCAAATTAACAGTTTATTAAGGAAATGTTTTCTAGGCACATCACATAGTATAAATTAATACTCAAAAATGTGAAAAAAATATTAGAAAGAAGTTAACAAAGTTGTCTTAAAAATATGCTTTGTAAAACCTACTGAATCAATTCTCTTAACAATATGTAAAACCATGTAATCAGGTTTATAGAAAATAATAGACTTGTGATTTCCAGCATATCTTTTTGTGTTTGTGCAATAGTTTGAAGTCCATTAACTTATAATAATCTATTCTGTAGGTCCACCACAATGGAGTGGTATGTATGTTGGGTATCATTTGACCCAGTGTTCTATATTATGCATGCTGTGATGTGTTGATTTTCAAAGGAGCTAGAGAGTTCACATATCCTGCTTCCAAATACAATTTCCAGTGAGGTTTTCTTCCATGTACTAATGTAACTAATGTTTTGGATGTATAAGGTGCTAAAATGAAAAGAAATTTTATTTCTGTATGAGTCAGAGCTTATATTTTTTCTATTATTTTGGTACTTTTACTGAAACTGTGAATTTTTTTTTAAAAGCCTCTTGTTCCAGAGCACCCCTTTGTTTTTATTATTACTAATTATAATTTTTTTAATGATTGCTTTTCACACTTAACATTTTTCAGTAATCTGTATAAAATAAATTTACATGTTTACATTAATTTGGATCAGGGAAGAGAAATTAAACAGAAAAAATCACATAGTTCTGCAAATGCCTCCTCAGGGAATTGTCAGTATTCCCATAAAATAAAATTTATGTTAAATAAAATTTAATATCTCTTTTATCTCGGTAAGAATGCAAGAGAGCAGTTCTTTAATGTTTCCTGGATTCTGTAATGCTGCATTTCTTTTATAAGTTATGTTATTTTATAATTTCTGCTTATAATTCCTATAAATATCTAGAGAGTTACCTACTAATAGTCTTAATATGATCTGAGCTAGTAACTGTTTTTAAGTGTAACAACCTTTTAGTTTGCCATCAAGACAAGGTTTTTTGCGGGGGGGGGGGTTGTTTTTTTTCTGTAGACTTCAGTCTTTTAAACTAAGCTTTGATAATAAGAGCAGTTTTTATTTGTTGTAACTTTTTTTTTTTTTTTTTTTTTTTTTTTTTTTTTCCGTGTC